TTTTTTTTTTTAAGTTTATTTATTTATTTTGAGAGAGAGAGTAAGGGAGGGGCAGAGAGAGAGGGAAAGAGAGAATCCCAAGCAGGTTCCTCACTGCCACTGCAGAGCCCAATGTGGGGCTTGATCTCAAGAACTATGAGATCATGACCTGAGCTGAAACCAAGAGTCTGATGCTTAACCAGCTGAGCCACCCAGACGTCCCCCAGTGATGGTGCCTCTTTCTCACCCCCCAGGCTCCGACATTATCATGCAACTGGATGATGTGGTCAGCAGCACTGTGACAGGGCCACGCGTGGAGGAGGCCATGTACAGGTGTGTGTGTGTGTGTGTGTGTGTGTGTGTGTGTGTGTGTGTACCGGGAGGGGATCATAGCCCTGGAGCCTTGTCTCTTTACCCTAGGGCTCATGACTGGGTCCCTCTTCCAGGTCAATCCGCTGGCTGGACCGGTGCATTGCAGCCCATCAGCGGCCAGACAAGCAGAACCTCTTTGCCATCATCCAGGGCGGGCTGGACGAGGATCTCCGGGCCACCTGCCTTGAAGGTAGAGCCACGTGCCGGTAGCCGGTAGATCCAGGGCTTGTCCATCACCGAGGGCCCCACCCCCGGGCCTGGCACGTGATGGCGCTGACGGGGGTTGTTAATGGGCGGAAGGGATAGCTGAAGCAAAGGCACGGAGGCAGACATGGCAGTAGAGTGTTTGCAGAATAATGGTGGTTTCAAAAGCTAGCAATTTCATACTGTTCACCAGACACTATGCCACGTGCTGGTCACAGACTGACCCATTTGGTTTCGTAACCGTCCTGTAAGGTGGGAACTACCAGGTTCCCGTGGTTACAAAAGAGGAAACTGAAGCACAGAGCTGTTAAGTCACTTACCCCAGCCACCCGGCTTGGATGTTGCAGAGGTAGGATTTGGCCCTAGGTCTTGGGCTCTGGAACCTGCAACATTAACCGAGACCCCGTGCTGCTTCCCCCTCAGGGTCAGGAGCGGTGCCTAAGGCATTCTGCTGATAGTGGGGGTACTGGGGAGCCATGGAGGGCCGTTGAGTGGGAGTGTGACAGGAAGCAAGGGGCATATCATGGAGAAATTCGGGAAGCAGAAGGCCCGTGAGGAGGTTGGAGTATCTGCCCAAGGGAAGAGTGCCAGTAAGGCCCATGTGAGGTCCGTGGCTGTGGAGACAAAAGGGGGCCAGAGATGGGGACTCAAAGGCAATAAAGTTTCATGGGCAAGGCTCTGGGTCCTGGCGTTTGGCTGGCTGGATCCACACCTCTGATCTGCTGCCTCATGTCTGTGCACCCTCGGGCAAGTGGCTCGGCCTCCGTAAAATGGGCACATCCTCCCAGTGTCAAGAGGTCAAAGTGAGGTCAAATGGGAAAGCCTGTTCAAAGCGTTGTGCCTGTGCCTGGCATCAGGATGTTCTGTTGTGAAGACTGTCTTTGTCATCATCCCTTTCGTCCTCAAACTGCGCCCAGTTCTGTGTCTAGTAAGTCTTTTGAACGGAGACCTCCTCCCCAGTCAGAGATACATTTCTGTGTTTCTTTTTTTTTTTTT